GGCATTATGCGATAGAAATTGATGTCGCCTGTGCGTACATATTGTACCATTTCGTTGGGTCCTGTGGAGCTGGCGTACATATCGGCGCCACAACGCGGATTCACGAGGCGACGTGGAACTTCAAAAAGACTATATTAGTTGGTAGAACAAACATTTGGCAATCCACTTACTTTCACGTATGCGCCTTACTACGGGCCTTCCAGCCGCCCACACATCGTATTCCTCTCCGAGTGGAAAAAGATCTTGGTGTGGATTGCGTACAAGATCCTTGAAGCGTATGAGCCCACCACCGCCGTAGTAGAGAATATGTAAGTCCGGCACTGTGTAGTTGAGCCGCTCAAGAAAATGAAGAGCATATCGCATATCCCAATCGGGTACAAAGGCTACGGGGCTGGGTACAAGTAAAGCGATCAGCGATCGGCCTCCCAATGAGGAGGCGTTGCGATCAGCATTCATAATATTTTGCGTCATATCTACGGCAGAGTTGAGGATTTGTGGTAGACTGAAGCCGGGCTTGTCTGCGAATGGGATTCGAATTAGTGTTTGCTTCTTAGAAATATTGGCATACTATGGAGGAGAAACTCGGCCAAACACTATTATATTGTGTAATACCAATCTATTATCTTTATTATATCCTGGAAAATCTACTTACACCACGAGTGTGTTGTGACATTCCATTTCTCATAAACTTCCATCAAATAGTGTGTGGTGTTGACCATTATGGTGCCATCCGCGGCGGATAATAAGGTCACAGCGCTGGCGTAGGGATTTATATTGAGTCGTTGTAGTACAAAGCTATAGGGAAGAGGAAGAAAAAAGAATAAAAGCCTGATTATGGCACAATAACTTAACTTAACGGAACATTGAACTTAGAGAATCAAAATGAAACAGATTTCGACGTGGCATTAAGTTACGTTAAGTTTCGGCTGTTCAATTATAAGCAACACCCATTTAACAGAATTTTTAAGAGAGAGGCGTAAGTTACGTTAAGTTGCCTTAAGGCCCGCCCACATAGAACTTTGGCGTTGGCGTCGCTTCAACAGCTGACTATGAATACATGAATTCAAATGCAGCCGTCCACATAGCCAAAATTCGACAACGCTCACACCAACACAAAGCAAAAAGATGGCCAACTCTCAACTTTTCGCGTGCGTCGCTCATCAGCTGTTGCAAATAAATAAAATTATGTGAAATATTCCTTTTTATTCAGCAAGGCGGGCAAGAAATATCGTTTAAAACGCAATTATTGATAGGAAATATTAATTTATCTGTCGTTAGTATGTTAATTTAGTGGCCCAAGCATACTTTAAACGTGCGTTCTGTCAAGCCAACGTCAACGCCAAAGTCAACGCGAAAGTTCTATGTGGACCGGCCTTTAATCAAACCATAAGCGTACGTTGGGTGCCGTGGACAATTCCTGAAATCTATCACTTACGGCGCGTTTACATTGGACAATGCTGTCAAGACAATGAAGATATTCGTATTAGTTGCCAAAATTGTTCCAACGGGAAAGTATGCATGTATTAGTGAAAAAGTGTGCATGTATTGCTATTGTCATGACAGTATTGTGCGGTGTAAACCCTAACCCTGGCATTCAGTACGCGGTCTCTAGTCACTAATAGTGACTTTTGGTGGTGAACTTGGATTTTGAGACTATTTGGTATTCAGTACGCTGTCTCACGTCTCTAGTCTCAAAAAAAAAGTCACTACATCTTCAGCTGGCTAAGAGCAGGTCTCAAAAATAAAAATATGGAGAAAAAGTTAACTGCTTTCCATTTTATTAAAAAAAAACGCGAATATGAAGCGAGGAAATTTGTCCAATAAGAATTTCGTTAGGAAATACGCCAAAATACTTTAATATACAAATCCATTGAAAAAAAAATTAATTTTTTTTAACATTAAAATCTAAAGATTATTAAAAAAATAAAATAAAAAATTTGAATGATCTCACCACCTAGAATCGCTCTATATATAAAAAAAATTCTATTATTTATCATTATTTTCTATCTTGGAATCAAAAAATATTTAGAGGTCGCTCAAAGCGTTTCCATGTATTTTACGAGGGAAAAACCTATTTTTCGTGGAAATGGTATAGAATTCTAGAAAATCACTATTTTTCGATGAGAAAACTCTGATTCTCTTCACAAGTCTTCCAATAATAATACCCAAATGTTTATTTAACCATTTTTTAATACCAACGATTTTTGGGGTCCTATAAAATATAGTTAATATTAAAAAATGGATAAATTGGGTACTATAACTGAGTCTCTTGAAGAGAAACAAAGTTTCCCGTTAACAGAATATTGATTTTCAACAATTCTATATCATTCCTACGAAAAATGGGGTTTTTCATATAAGTATATATATTGAAAATAAAAAAAGAGGGGTATAATTTTTTCGGTATAGAACAATCCTAGGAGGTGAGAGCATTAAAATTCGGACTTTACTTTTATTGGGCCACCCTAATGTACATAACATACGTATGTATGTATCTTAAACTGCCAGATACTGGATGAAATTTTCGAACTTTTGCTTCTCTATAATAGTGAAGTTGCAGAACCGTGAACAAAGCCGCTCTTGTAAAAGCACAATTGGCAGATGCACATATCGTTATCTTAATAGAACAAGGCCCTAACTAATTTTTTTTTCACAACCCATCTTTGAACGAAAGCCGGTAGATTAGTCAGTAAAATCAAACTAGAGCCTGAAAATTACAGGAAAAGCACAAAATTACTTAGTTACAGTCGACAATAAAATACAGTATTTGTAAGAAATTTTGAGTTAACGAACATGATTAAGTTTTTTATCACTTTGTATAGAAACAAAACGGTTAGACGGGGATATGTATAATCATAGTACTAATAAATATGTTTTATATTTTATCGAAAGAAATTTCATACTTAATATAATCCATGACAAAGTAGTACGGCCACGTGGTATCCAGAAAAACAAATATGTTTGTCATAATTGTAGTCATATTGTGTATACCTTGAGGTTCGTCATCTTCGTTGCACGTCGTGTACATCCAAGCTGGGAATTAAAAACCATTAAATAGATTTTCAAAGAGTACAACATAATATTCCAAAGCATGGATGTATGTAAAGATTCTCATACAAAATTATGGACTTCATTTCACAACTCATTAGTTGCTAGGATCGGTTGTTCAATGTCTGGTTTTCACTACGTCCGAGTTTACCATCATCAGCCGTTCTATGTAGCCGGAGTTTCTCGCTCAGATTTGTGTTAACCGGACATTGAAAAAAAAACTGCCCTTAATAGGTTGAAGAACTTAATTTTATGACGGTAAGTAGTTTGTTGCTATCGTTGCAGCGTAAAGCAGTTCTTTAAGGATTTTAGGCAAATGTTGATGGAGTGGAAATTTTGATCGTAGGTGTATCTCATGGTCCCATTGTTAATTTGGAAAGTATTAGGGATGGGTAGTGGGGGTTGAAATTCGATTTTTTTCAACATTAAACATTTTTTTTTTACTGAAAATTTGGAAGTTTGTTTGGGAGAAGGACAACTCGAATCGAAAAAGAGGTTCAACTGCACTTACGTGATGATGTTAAAAATTTTGACATAATGAAAACCAAGCATTAGACGCATTTTTAAGATTATAAAGCATCTGAAATCTTATTTATTTTTTATGAATTTATTTGTATTATAACTGGGATGTGCAACTATTTATTTGAGTCAATAAATACAGCTCACTGTGAGTTAATACTTATAGCCAGTTTCGCGCAAGCAATTTAAGTGAAAAATGATTTTGGAAATAATGATTTTTTTAATATGGAAACTGCCCTACAAAATAGTTTTTCACTTAAATGACTTTCGTGAAACATTTATCGAAGTTACGATTGTTCCATCTTCTTGTATATTTTTAATTTATTCGATACATCGAAAATATCGATGAATCAGATCGAACAAACATCGACATTTTTTTTTACTTGCATCTCTACGGCACGACACAACAAGAGAGTGAAAAGAGTCGATTTTTGAGCGGGTTATAGCCATTTTGTTTCGCTGGAAAACGGACAAAAAGTAAACAAATCAAAGAAAACAACGAAAAACAAAATTATTGTCAGCCACTGTAAACACACAATTTAAGTAAAATTATTCATTAAAACGCTTTAAAATGTTATGTTGAAGTAACTCTTCTTTAGTTAAATAAAGGTGTAAAATAGTGGTGATTGTGATGTAAACAAACGCACAGCTGACGAACCCGCTTTCGCAAACTTTTTTCTCAAAACTAATTACAAATACAACGTCGCGTTCTTGCGTGACCTGGTATTTTTGGTTCATGCGTGCCAAATTTAGTCAGAAAGAAGAATTGCTTTCTTGCAAATAAAGACGAAATTCGATTTATTTCTTGTGTTTTTAGTTCATGGGTGCCAAATTTAGTCAGAAAGAAGAATTGCTTTCTTGCAAATAAAGACGAAATTCGATTTTTTCTATAAAAATTCGATTTTATCCGAATTTCAGCATACCAAGTTAGATTTAAAAAATTCGCCATTTTGAAGATAAAATTCGATTAGAATTCGAATCTCGAATTTACCCATCCCTAGAAAGTATGTATCAGTGAAATCGAGCGCTGAAAGCTTTTGGACCGTTTCGGAGAACCTTAAGTAAGACCTGGAGTCTGAGGCCAGCTATGATATTCTGAATATAGATACATAGCTTTGGCCAGACCGATCGTTACGCAGAATAGCTGTGGTATGGTGACGTCGAACCATGGTCAAAATAACGGTTTGAATGTTAAACGGAGTGTGTGTATACTGTACACTGTAGAGGCATTATGGGCGCCATAAGTACAACGTGAGCATAGGATCTTGGATCGGATTGGCCCAAACTGCGGTTATTTGGAAGATCCAATGTCGACGGAAGCTAATTTTAGGACCAAGTATAGCGTGAATAGTCAGATATATAAATGATCTCATTAATACAGCTCATCGGAACCGTTGGTGCAGCACTTACACCCGCAAAGCAACCAAGTGTTTTATGACAGGCCTGACAGGGTGGAAGTCAAATGTCTCCTAAAATCAAGGAGGACTGAGATTCGATCCCTGATAGGACTGGGTCACAATCCATGGGACGGCATATATGTGCATACACTGAGAAAAGAGTTTAATTAAAAATAATATAATAGATTGGCGCTTAGTAATACATAAGTAAGTGTGTGGCCGAGCTTCTCCTCCAATTTGTGGCGTGTGCCTTGATGTTGGCACACAAAGCCGAGAGTTTAATTACGTAACCTAAATATGTATACCCAATAATTGCTTTTGCGTACTCGTTCACGCACGATTGGGAACGTTAGTGACTCATTTTCCATATGAGGTAACCAACTCGTGAATAGCATTAAGCCACAGCAGAAATAAAGGGAGTTTTGGTGTGGGAATTCCGATTTAATCAGTTTAAGGACCATGACCGACTGCCTAATAAAGCGTACTCTTTAAAAAATAACCCAGAATCTAGTTGTGCCATGGGGTCGGGAGCTGCCACGTTAAAAAAAAATGTAATGAAAACCTTCAGATGAGACGCTTTGGTTTTGATGACGAGCACCGCTTCGCTATTCGCCTTCTTCATATGTATCTATGCACCATATGCACTACAACCGACTAACAAACTCCGCCAATTGCTGCTCTTCTACAATTCAAAGGTATCTATTCAATAAAAAAAAAGCATTGCAATTTTGTGGTTATGCTAGAGGGAACTTTTACTAATCAGCGTTACAACGAAGATTTTTGTTTTGAAAATGGAATAAGTCACTAAAGAAAATCTAGTTAATCATAACATTCATTACACCGAGAATTTTACACATAAAATATATTAACAAAACTAGGAGCCGCTAGGAGTAAAACCGCGTTTTTAGTTTTTCGCTCTGACATCAGCATTTTTTTAAAAGGACTTTAAAATTTCAAATGTATGATTGATTCAAAAAAGTATCCTTACAATCTTGCAGTATTTAATTTTTGGGAAAAAATTGGGTGAAGGATTAATATAATAGGTATATTGCATCGTTCTACATTAAAAGCTTAAAATAATAAAAATTATTAAAAGGACATTTTCAATGCCAATTCGTCCTTATGAGCCAGAAAAAAAATAAATAATTTTGAATTCTAAAGATTTTTTTCTTTTATTTGGTTATATACTATAAGTTATCATTTTGATAGTACGAAAGGTTCAGAAGTATTGAATTAACGATGAATAAATAAGAAAAAGGTTCTGCACTAGAGCGAGGACACCACCTTGACTGTAACAGGCCACCTCCGTAAAATGTATTTCCTCTAAACAACATTCATTTGGATAATAAACTTTTATTATTTGGATATGTCGCTACTATGTCAAGGCGATGTGGCATTATCATCGAATGATGAACAAAAAGTTAGACAGATGGCTGCTAATATCGACTCCTCCCAATTAAAAAATTATATAAATATTTAGGCGGGTTGCCTAATAAAAGTATCTTAGAGATTCACTAAATCCAAATTACACTACTATCTTCGTTTCAAAATGAAAAAGAAAATATCCAACAACTCATAAACATCTCATTAAAATTTAAAATTTTAGCCAAATACTTTTTTTTGTTGGTTCACAAATATTTTATTCGTATTATGTTTGTATGTAAGCACATAAATCTCATGTGATAAAATGCAGCCCAACAATGTTATTTAATACACTTATTTATGTATGTCTAAATGATAGAAAATCAAATTGATGAACTTAGGCGTTTATAAAAAATACATTATTTAAATATGTATGCGTATGAATTTGTGTACTATGGAGGATCATGTTGTATGTTGATAAACTTAACACTGGTAATTATTTCTGTACTAGGTACATTGGCAACACTGACAAGCCAAAATAGAAAAATCTAAAGAAAAGCCGAACGCTTTCTACATCAAATCTTCAACTTCTCCAAGTCTCTACTGCAATGCCTCGCGCAGGAAGTACGCCAGCAAAATGGTGGCGAAACTGGCAAAGAGCCCAGCGACGCCACTATAACAGCCCAAATTCGTCACCGAAACCACGTAGCGTGCCTGATCCGGTGTTTGGCAGGCATTATCAGTGCACGAAACCGTCGATGAAATGGTTGTTGGCGACTGCACTGAGATGTAGAGTGGTGGGCATTGACTAATATAACTGTAACCGTTGCATGCATTGGACAGATCATAGGAGAAACCGTTGCCAATCGCGGCACAATTTATGTCCGATGAACCGCCACTATTGTTGGTGGCATTGCTTTGCGTAGGTAGTGGAACGGTGCGCGAGGTGCAAATTATGAATTGTATGCCACTGGTGGATTGGATAGCTACGTTGCGGTTGCTGCCAGCGCCATAAAAGTAGTTGGGTGCCATACGATAGAAATTAGTGCCATTTGGACTTAGATACTGCGCCAGCTGATCGGTGCCCCAAGAGGGCGTGTACCAGGTTGAGCCACAGCGTGGATTGATTAGGCGGCGCGGAACTATAGAAAGGGGGCGAATTGGAGAGTGAGTAAGTGGGCTTCAGCAAAAATTTTGAGTGCTACACAACAACTTACTTTGAATAATACGCGACACAACCGGACCCGACGAGGCGGCTGCAGTGCTAGCCGTATTCAGTGTAAACAAATCTGTGCTAGGATTGCGTACGAATGTAGCAAAGCGATTGATCGTGCCGCTTGTATAGTAAATGAAATTCAAATCAGGTATTTGTTCGTAAATGTATTGCAGCTGTGTGGTGGCATAGGTGGAGTCGCTGCTGCTCACTTGCACAGTACTGTAGGGGATCAGTAGGGCGACTAGAGAACGGCCACCAACAGAAGAATTCGTTTGTTCAGCGTTCATGTAGGCCTGAGTCAGATTGGTTATTTTTTGTAAAACGGTGGGTAAATTGAAGCCAGTGGTATCTGGAGAAAACGAGAAAAGGAAGTGGAAAGATGGGAATCAGTTTTATACTTAGTACTTGAAATGCGCGCAAGGCGAAAACTCACATTGT